CCAAAGCAGGAGGAAATTATCTCCCTGTTGGAAGAATGTCTTGTGCTGGCCCTCTTCCTAGATGATTATCTTGCCCCGCCAGTAATTTATAGAACACTTGGAGATTTATATCGTGACGTCCGTCAAGTAGCTAAGGCAAGCGAATGTTATGAAAAACTTTCATCCTTTTTATTTGGTTCAGGAATAAAAAACACTCGTAAAGATATTGTGGTACGCTATCATTTAGCAATTCGCTTTGAATCATTAAGAAAATATGATAAAGCAATTGAATATCTTGAAAAGAGCCTTAGCATTGCTAAAGCAATTGGTGAGCGAGAATGGGAAGCAGCTATATACCAAAAATTAGGACATGAATATCGATCATTAGAGAAATACAACAAGGCAATTGAGTGTCATGAAATGAGCCTTKGCATTTCTAGAGACATTAGGAGCASAAAAAAAGAACAAGATGCTTATGTGGACCTGGGAAATGTTCATTACTCGTTAGCAAATCAACAAAAGGCAATGGAATATTATGAAAAGGGACTTAGCATTGCTAAAAATATTGGTGACAAAAAAGGAGAAGGAAGAATTTATGGAAACTTAGGATGTGTCTATTCCTCATTGCGTAATTACCACAAAGCAGAAGAATATTATGAAAAGAGCCTCGGAATTGCTCAAGAGATTGGCGACAAAAAAGGTGAAAGCACTATGTTGTCCAACTTAGGAGTTGCCTATCTATCAAAAGGAAAGTACCACCAAGCAACCGAATGTCTCGAAAGGACTGTTAAAATTGATAAAGAGACTGGTGACCTGCTGAGAGATGAAGTTCCGTATTATAATTTAGGAAATGCATATCAGTCATTATGGAAAAACGATAAGGCAATAGAGAATCATGAACGAAGCCTTAGCATTGCTAAAGAGATTGGTGATAGACGGAGAGAAGGACTTGCTTATAGGCAATTGGCAAACGTCTATCAAGTATCAGGAGAATACCACAAGGCAATTGAATGCTATGAAAAGCGCCTTGACATTGCTAAAGAGATTGGTGACMGACAGGGAGAAGCGACTACTTATGGTAACTTAGGAAATGTCTATGGATCATTAGGAAARTACAACAAAGCCATTGAATATCATGAAAAGAGCATTGGTATTGCTAAAGAGAATGGTTACCGATATCTAGAAGGAAGAATTTATGTTAACTTAGGATCTGTGTATCAAACATTAGGGAAACATAACAAGGCGATTGAATGTCACGAAAAGGGCCTTGTAATTGCAAAAGAAGTAGATGATAGACAAGGAGAAGGAATGACTTATGGCAAATTAGGAAATGCCTATCAGTCGTTAGGAGAATATGGTAGRGCTAATGATTTTCTTCAAATGTCTCTTGGAATTGCTAAAGATACAGGCCATAAAGAAGGAGAAACCATTGCTTGCGGAA